AATTAATTTTCATATGTACTGTGATGTAGAAACCATTGAGTTTTTTTTAACTTAAAAAATTTAATACATGTTTAAAGTAGTTGTTCCTTTGTGTGTGTGTGTGTGTGTGTGTGTGTGTGTGTGTGTGTGATATAAATGAAATAAACACTTTTTCTGAAGGTCTGAAAGTCAGGGTTTCTTTCTTAGATGGTTTGGAAGAAGTCTGTGCTGGGTTCTATTTATTCTTTTGTTTGCTTAATGTGGCCTTCAAGGTGAGAGTTTGGTGTTTTTCTTTTTAAACAGATATTTAGTTGCTCCAGCATCGTTTATTGAAAATAAAGGTCTTTTGAATTAGGAGCCTATTCAATTTCATTTTCACCTTTGACAAAAATCTGTTGACCTTATTTACATAGGTCTATTTCTAGATTCTATTATGTTCCATTGCTCTATTTTTCTATCTATATTAATGCAACACTATGTAAGATTGCTATATAAATCTTGAGATTTCAAGGCTTGAAATCTGGGGGTATACATCCTACAACTTTCTTCTTCAAAATTGTCTTAACTATCACCATAATTTTTGAAGGATTTTTTTCTGCTTATATAATTATAGGTTGACAGTTCTATTCTATCAACATTTCAAAGATGTCATTGTGTTGTGCTCTGGCTCCCACTACCCAGCCATCATTCTCATTGTTTCTCTGAATGTTATCTGTGTCACACTCCTACTCCCTGTTTTCTTTAAAAGATTTTTTCTATTCCTTCCTTCTCCCTTCGTCCTTCCCTCCCTCTCTTTTCCTCCTTTCCTCTCGTCTTCCTTCTCTTTCTTCCTGCTTACTTTTGAGTAATTTGACTCTCATGTGTCTCAGTATGCTTTTTTTCATTTTTTTGTGTTTTTCCTGCTTGGAGTTTTTGAACTTAATAGATACCAGATTAGTAAATGAATATTCAAGTGGCTTTTGAGTATAGTAACTTGACTGTACATCTTTAGGAGAATATGCTCTCTGGACAAAAAAGAACTTCAAAGAAGGATTAAACTTCATCTATTAAGTCCACCATTAGTAATTTGGTACCATAACTCTGAAGCTATTATATGTATTTGGTTTAGAAAGCATATAAGTAAATATATTAGTGATATTAGCAGATATGATTTTAAATCTAAGAGTGAAAAAAGACATAAAACATTTGAAAGATTAAGGGGAAAAAACTGTGTTAAATTTAAATTGGAACTGTTAATATTTGGAAATTTTAAATTTCTAGCTCCGTTTATTAAAAAAGCCTAAATTCAATGACACATCAGTAACAAAGTTCATACCTAACACCCAGATCTTGGTTTTGTCCTGCAAAGTAAAATGAAAACCACTCCTTTGTAATGAATCATGGTGAAAAAGAATCAAATTCATTTTTGGTACCTCCCTTTGTCATCACCCAATGCAGACAACCTCAGATTAAAGTGAGTTTTTCTATTACAAGGATCAATGTCTTTCAGGAACGTGATTGTGGGTTTCATCTGGGAGGAATGGCAGCACCTAACACCCCTGTAGAGGACCCTATACAGGGACATGATGCTTGAGAACTACAGCTACCTAGCATCTGTGGGTGAGTGTCACTGTCCTGTGTAGGCTTGACTGTGCCTCGCTGACTGATGCCTTTGCTTTCTCTTGCTGACACTAAATGGGGGCAAGGGAATAGGGGCAGAGAACTTATGAAGTGTATATTGACTTTGTCCTCAAGTTCTCAATTTCACAGTCTCTCTTTGGATACTGAATTTATATTTCTCTCTCACTGGTAACCTTTTATCTTGCTAACATGCAAAGTGGAAACATTACTATATGATCCTTAACACCATGTCTGAGGTGGTTTCTCATCAACAGGATCTTCAGTTCCTAAATCATATATGATCTTCAAGTTGGAGCAAGGAGAAGATCTAGGAATGTTTGAAGGGAAAATTCCAAGTGATCTCTGCTCAGGTGAGTATGAGTCAGACACATGGAAGACAGAGGAAAGAGAGAAAATGGAGGAAGAAAACTGTTAAAAATAATTTAAGAAAATTTTCTCACTGAAAGTGTCCATTGAATGATGGCTAGAAAAGTGGATGAACGTAAACTGGCATTAATCCAGATCATAAAATTAAGCAAACAAAAGAATAAATAGAACCCAGCACAGACTTCTTCCAAACCATCTAAGAAAGAAACCCTGACTTTCAGACCTTCAGAAAAAGTGTTTATTTCATTTATATCACACACACACACACACACACACACACAAAGGAACAACTACTTTAAACATGTATTAAATTTTTTAAGTTAAAAAAACTCAATGGTTTCTACATCACAGTACATATGATAATTCAAGATTGACAAATCTAAATGTGAAAGCTAAAACTATAAAATTTCTAGAAGAAAATCTTCACAATCTTAGAGAGAGAACAGATCTATTAATGAGGACATAAAAAGCATTAGTCATGAAAGAAAAATAAATAAATTGGGATTCCTCAAAATTAAAAGTTTTTGCTCATCAAACATAATGTTTAAACGAAAAGGCAAATTACAGACTGGAAAAAATATTTTCAATATTTTTTTGTATCCAGAATAAAACTGACGAAGAATTTGTATCCAGAATAAAACTGATTCCTTCAAGTCAGAAATAATTAAAAAGATAATCCAAAAATTTTGTGAAAGACTTGAATGAGCACTCATACCAAGATATACAAATGTCAGTAAGCTCATCAAGTGATGCTCAACCTTATTAGTCATCAGGAAAATGCAAAGTAAAATCACCATGGGATTCTACTGCACAACTACCAGGATAGCTAAAAAAAGATCAACAAACCAAGTGTTGGCAAGGGTGTGGAACAACTGGAATGCTCATATATAACTGGCGGGGGTTGCATACACAGATACCTGAAAATCTGTCTGGCAGACTTTGGTAAATTAAATATAAGCCTCCCTTATGATTCCAGCAATTCCATTCCTATATTCCCAAGAGAAAGGAATCTTATGTCCACGAAAAGACTTGAACAAGAATGTTTACAGCAGCTTTATTCATAATCATCAAAAATGTAATCATCTGAAATGTCCATAAGTAATGTAATTAGCATTTTGAAATTTCATGAACAGAGAGAAGAGAGAAAATGGAGGAAGAAAACTGTTACAAAATAATTTAAGAAAATTTTCTCACTGAAAGTGTCCACTGAATGATGGCTAGCAAAGTGGATGAAAGTAAACTGACATTAATCCAGATCATAAAATTTCTAAATGCTAATTACAGAAGAATATCTGTAAAGCTTCCTAAGAGGAAGAGAAAAGAACATAAATAAGAGACCTGCAACCAAATTGGCTTTAGACTTCAACAGCAATAATGGAACCTAGAATATAATAGAGTAATACCTTCAAAAATTTGTGGGAAAATTATTTCCAACCTAGAATTTTTCTACCATACAAAACTATTATGTTTTGGTATACAATACCAACATTTTCAGACATGCATGGTCTCAAAAGAATTTATCTCCTATTCACAATTCTATCAGGAAACTACTGGAAAAAGAAAACATGGAATCAAAGTATCAGGATCCAGCAAACAAAGTAAGTGAGGGAATCCAAGGCAAGAAGGAGGAGGTAGATCCCATGGCCACAGTTTTGCAGGAGTTCTAGAGAGCTTTCACTGCCGATTGGAGCAGCTCAGAATAAATATCTTCGAGAATATGAAACTGTCAAAATCAGTGTTATTGTTAGGAATTCACAGAAAAAAGACCTTTGAAGGTAGTATGAAAAAGTTAGGAAAAATTATTATTTCAGAGCACGGTACACTAATTTCTCTCAGTTACATACCCTCACACACATGTTTTGAATAAGTAGTCAAGAAGAGGAAAAGCAAGCAAAGTGGTGCAGAGGGGCATTTGTATATACACAAACTTGCAATAAACCTGACTTTGTACAGAATAATTAGTATTCTGATCCTACTGGAACAGAATATATTTGTGGGTACTAGTGAAATATTGTAGATAACTGGATTTGTTGGCTTAAGAGTGTTACAGATGGGCTTTGATCACAGGAATTATGTATATAATTTGAATATTTTGGCAGCACAGTCTAGTTAGGTTATTACTGGTTGGTTTGTTTTGAGGAAATGGGAATAAAATTTGAGAAAAGCCTAAGTTTATAATAGTCACAGTAAGTGGAAGCCTTAAGTGTCAAGATTTAATATTAGAGTTAAAGGGAAATGTGGTTTCAGAGGCAAGAAAAGAAGTATCTAGGGGGCTTCCCTGGTGGCGCAGTGGTTGAGAATCTGCCTGCTAACGCAGGCAACACGGGTTCGAGCCCTGGTCTGGGAAGATCCCATATGCCGCGGAGCAACTGGGCCCGTAAGCCACAATTACTGAGCCTGCGTGTCTGGAGCTTGTGCTCCGCAACAAGACAGGCCACAATAGTGAGAGGCCCGCGCACCGTGATGAAGAGTGGCCCCCACTTGCCACAACTAGAGAAAGCCCTCACACAGAAACGAAACCCAACACAGCCATAAATAAATAAATAAATAAATAAATAAAAAAAGAAGTATCTAGGGATGAAGACAATAGGGGAAGGAAGTAATGATCAATACAAATTCAGAGAACAGGAGCTATAATAGGATAAGACACTGATGTTTTTCACAATTGCTTATTAAGCACCAACTATGTGCCAAGCCCCAGACCAGCAATCAGAAGAGTAATACATCTGATTGTGGGCTGCATAGCTTGGTTTCTGTCTGATTTTATATGTCTTGTTTAGCCAATTTTATCTTCCTTCTCCTTTCAGATGAAGAATTTAGATTTGAAACCAGAAAAGTAGGAATTTCTGAAGAATATTTCTTCCCTTTTGAGAAGTTGGATCATTTCACAAGGGATGATTTGCTTTGCTCCATTTTAGAAAATTAACAAATTGTGGCAAATCAAGGCAAATTTTAAGTCAACTTAGAGGTGGTAATTCAGAACTTAGTATCCATCAGAGAAATTATACTCAGTTAAAACCTTATGAGTGTTCTAAATGTTTGAAAGCGTTCTCTCAGAAACTCATCTTGTAAGACATCTGTTAATTCATATTGATGAGAAACCTTATGACAGCAAAAGACGTGAGAAAGCCTTCAGAAGTAAGACAACATTCATTATATATCAGAGGGAAATAAAGATGGGAGATAAAGCCAAAGAATGTACAGAATGTGGAAAAGGCTTTTCTCATAAGGTAGATCTCAAGACACATCAGAAAATTCACACTTGGGAGAAGCCCTATGAATGTGCTGAGTGTGGGAAAAACTTATGTAACCTAGATCTCTGCAAGCCCTGGACAATTCATACTGGAGAGAAACCCTATGAATGTACCAAATGTAGAAAAGCTTTCCCCCTAAAAGCACCCCTCATCAGGCATCAGAAAATTCATACCGGAGAGAAACCCTGTGAAAGTAATGAATGTGGGAAAGCTTTCAGATTGAAGCCAGAACTCATCAGACATCAGAAGGTTCATTCTGAGGAGAAAGCCTTCTCCCAGAAAGGACACCTCATTAAGCATCAGTTAATTCATACTGGTGAAAAACCACATGATTGTAAATAGTGTAGAAGACCCTTCAGAAGTAAAACAGAACTTACTATTCATCAGAAGATTCATACTGGGGAGATACCCCATGAATGTGCAGAATGTAGAAAAGCCTTATCTTGTAAGGCAGGTCCCAAGACACATCAGAAAAGTCATACTGGGGAGAAGCCCCATGAATGTATTGAATATTGGAAAGCCTTCAGCAGGAAATCAAAACTCATCCGATGTCAGAGGATTCATTCTGAAGAGAAACCCCATGAGTGTAATGAAAGTTGGAAAGCCTTCTCTCAGCAATCATACCTCATTAATACATGGTGGTGAGAAGCACCATGAATATAATTATGGGAGACACTTCATTAGGAAGGAATAACTCATTAGACAGAAGAATATTTGTGCTGAAGAAAATCCGTCTGAACATACTGGATGTTGAAAAGTCTTTCCCTGTAATGCACAATTTGTTAAGGATCATTTAATTCATACTAGTGACAAACCTCATTAAAGCAATTAATATGGAAAAGACTGAAAAGCCAGAACTCATACATAAGAGGATTCAATGTAGGGAAAACCTGTGCTTAACACAGGATGGCTTTTGCATGGCAGTGAGAGCTAATTACACATTATAGAACTCCCACAAGGGAGAAAAACCTATAAATTTACTGAATGTGGAACAGTGAACAATATGGCTGAGGTCTTCTTAAACTAGAAAATTCGTACAAAGAGGAAGCTATTATGTTGATATATTTTGAAAGCATTTTTATAGAAATTCTTGTTAGGCATGTAATTCCAAAATTTTTATGGAAAACTAAGGAAAGCAATTTAGAATCACAATTGTGTTCACTGTGGAGTATGAAGCTTGGGAAAGTGAAAACAAATGGAACTACACAGTAACCAACTTCATATATGGATGGTTCCAAATAATGTAGTGTTTATGCTGCTGAATACATTATATAAAACTAACTATCATGATGCAGGGAATTTCTTATGTAAATTTAATGTGATTCTGACAATAATTATTTTCTTCTCTGGAGTACGTACAATTCTTTTTTTTTAATATTAAACCCATTTTATTGATGAGGAAATTAAGGTTATATAACTTACAATGTAACTTGAGAAAGAGGGAAAAAGTCAGCTTGACTTCGAAACACTTAACCTCTATACTATGATGAGTTGTTTTTTATTTTTAAATTGAGATACAATAAACATATAAAATTGTATTAGTTTTAGGTGTACAACATAATGATTTGATAATTATACATATTGCAAAGTGATCACCACAATAAGTCTAGGTAACATCTGTCACCACACATAGCTACAAAAATTATTTTCTTGTGATGAGAAATTTTAAGATCTACTCTCTTAGTTACTTTCAAATATACAATAAAGTGTTATTTACTATAGTTACCATGCTGTACACTATATGACATTTATTTTATAACTGGAATTTTGCACCTTATGACATCCTTCACTTTACCCACCCTCTCCTCTGGCAACGACCAATCTGTTCTCTGTATATATGACTTCCATTTTTTTGTTTTTAGATTCCAGGTATAAGTGAGATCATACAGTACCTTTCTCTGACTTATTTCACTTAACATAATGCCCTTAGGGTGCATCCTTGTTGGCAAAAAGGGCAGGATTTCTTTCTTTTTATGGCTGAATAATTTTCCATTGTGTATATCACATTTTCTTTATCCACTCATTATCAGCAGACATATAGAATTTCTCCACATTTTGGCTATTGTAAATAAATGCTGCAATGAACACAAGGGTGTAGATATCTTTTCAAGTTAGTGTTTAATTTTCTTACGATAAATACCCAGAAGTGGAATTGCTGGATTACATGGTATTTCTATTTTTAATTTTTTGAGGAAACTCCATGCTGTTCTCCATAGTGGCTGCAAAAATTTACATTCCCACCAACAGTGCACAAGGATTTTCCTTGACGATGTGCAGCAAAGGGAATCCCTGTGCACTGTTGGTGGCAATGTAAATAGGTTTAGCCACTACAGATAATACTGGATAGGTTACACAAAAACCTAAAAATAGAACTAAGGATCCAGCAATCCCACTTCTGGGTATTTATTTAAAGAAAATGAAAACAGTAATTCAAAGAGATAACTGCACCCTCATGTTCATTGCAGCATTATTCACAATAGCCAAGGTATGGAAACAACATTGGTGTCCGTTGATGGATGAATGAATATATACATATATCTATATCTATGCATATCTCAATTTTTCAGCCATAAAAAGAATGAAATCTTGTCATCTGCAACAACATGAATGGACTTCAAGGGCATTATGTTAGGTGAACTAAGTCAGACAGAGAAAGACAAATACTGTATGATCTCTCTTATATGTAGACTATAAAATAAATATAAACACACAAACACACACACACAGACACACACACCAAACACCAAGCTAATAGATACAGAGAACAAATTGGAGGCAGGGGGTGGGAGGTAAATTGTTTCTGTTTTTTGTTTTTAGCGAAAATAAATTTTATACATAAATGCAATGAATGAACAAACCAATGAATATAGTATCCCTAACTTAATGGTACCTAATAAATACAAATATCTACTATTAAATTTTAAAAACCACATTTTCAGCCATCATTTATTAAATTGTCTTTTTTTTTAAACATCTTTATTGGAGTATAATTGCTTTACAATGGTGTGTTAGTTTCTACTGTATAACAAAGTGAATCAGCTATATGTATACATATATCCCCATATCCCCTCCCTCTCGCACCTCCCTCCCACCCTCCCTATCCCACCCCTCTAGGTGGTCACAAAGCACCGAGCTGATCTCCCTGTGCTATGCGACTGCTTCCCACTAGCTATCTATTTTACGTTTGGTAGTATATATAAGTCTATGCCACTCTCTCACTTCGTCCCAGCTTACCTTTCCCCCTCCCCATGTTAAACTTTTTATTTCTCCTCAGCCACAGCACAGCTCACATAGGCTGTCAAACTTCAGCCTCAAATATACATTCTCTCCAGTCTCTTCTCAACTTCGGGCAACACAAAGCATTTGTGAAGAATCCTAACCAAAGGGATCCAAGACGACTAAGTTTGGGGCCCCCTCTATCACATGGCTGGACCTGGGGATGCCTGGAGCACAGTCCCTCCTGACCAGGTAGAGCATGAGTGAGAGAGCATTCCTGCTTTATTTCTTTGTATTAGTGTATGTAATGCCATGTCTCTCCATTCATTTTGGTGACATATGTACATGGAAAATAAAAATGTTCTTCTCTCTCAACTTTCACTGTCATTGAATGAATTGTTAAATCTTAATTTAGTATTCAAAATCTTAACTTGAATTTTTAAAGCATTTATGTCTTATTACCCATCAGACTGTCATGAATCTGGGTTTTTAAAATCTGAAGCATATATCATTTGGGGTCCATCTTTCAAGAATACAGAAGTAGGTACAAAATTGAAATATTTAGAAAACCACAAGTTAAACATTTTAAAAAATCACAAAAGCCAACATATGTAGTAACATTTAACTTCCTAAGACATCTAATAGTTGCCATTGTACATTGGCTGCACAAGTTTTTCCTTTTTTTAAAAAAAACAACTTTTTTGAGGTAATATTTACGTCATGAAATTCACCCATTTCTTTTTTTTTTTTTTTTTTTTTTTTTTTTTTGGCGGTACGCGGGCCTCTCACTGCTGTGGCCTCTCCCGCTGCAGAGCACAGGCTCCGGACGTGCAGGCTCAGCGGCCATGGCCCACAGGCCCAGCCACTCCGCGGCATGTAGGATCTTCCCGGACCGGGGCACGAACCCGCGTCCCCTGCATCGGCAGGCGGACTCTCAACCACTGCACCACCAGGGAAGCCCAAAATTCACCCATTTCAATTCACCCAATTCAATGAATTTTAGTAACTATAACAAATTGTGCAGCCATTACCACAATTCAGTTTTAGAACATTTCAATAAGCCCAACAAGATCCCCATGCCCACTTGCAGGCCCTGACAACAACTAATCTATTTTCTGTCTCAATTGATTTGATGTCTGGACTTTTCATACAAATGCAGTTGTACAATATGTGGGGTCTTCTGTGTCTGGCTTCTTTCACTTATCATAATGTTTTTGAGATTCATCCATGCTTTAGCATGTACCAGTACATCATTCTTTTTAATTACCAAATAATATTCCATTGTATGAATATACCACATTTTCCTTGTCCATTCATTAGTTAATGAACATTTGTGTTGTTTTCACTTACTGACATTTATAAATAATAATACTGTAAACGTTCATGTACAAGTTTTTTTTGTGGGTAGATATTTACATTTACTGCGTACAGATACCTAGGAGTGGAATTGTGGGGTCATATGGTAAATTTATCACATTTATATTTTAGGGTGCCCCCACATTCTACTTTCTAGTAGAATTATTTATTCTTTTGTTCTACCTTCTACACCAGTCTGGGAATACCTTGAGAGCAGGAACCAGGCTTCACACATGATTGTTTCCCCCATTATGCCTTGTTTATTGTTTGGTAAATGAACAATGGGTTCTGTTCAATCACTCTGATGCAGGAAAGAAAACAATGTTACTCAAGCCTGGGCTCTGAAGTGTGAGGCTGAGGCACATAATGGGCCAACAAGAAATTGAGGATCAGCAAGAGAAGTATAGGAAACTATGCTCAATTGCATTATTGTTGCCAATTCTTCAACCCTCTCCGTATCTCTGCTCTTTGCTGTGTGACTTTCCATATGCTTCCACTGAAGGTACAGTCTATTTCTCTGCCCCACTGATGTTGGGCATAGTCATATGACTTGCTCTTGCCAATGAGGTAGGCACAAGTGACAGTGTACCAGCCCTGAGACTAAGCTTAACAGTCATGTGTTTCTACTGTCCCTCCAGAAGCTTCTGTCATCACTATGATAAGAAATTGTCTTGGGTAGCCCTGTGGTCTAGGGAGGTTGAGAGAGACACGTGGAAAAGATCTATATGTAATTTGCGCTTGGATCCAGTTGAGCCTGGACCAGCTGACTC